TTGTTAATGCTATCATTGCAACTGAAACGTGATCTGTGGATATGCCTGGGAATTAAAACAAGGGACTTGAAAAGCACCAAGAGTTCAAATTCTATAGATTTTAATCTAAAATCAACAATAAAACCGTTTGGGGAAGACTGGCCATATGGTTAAAGCACAGGAGTGGGAGTCATTAGTTGCCAGCACTGTCATTGACTTCTTTGGTAACTTGTATTTGTTCTTGGGACTCTGGTTTCCTCATCTAAAAACTGAGAGTTCTGAAGCTTATCTATTAACAGAAGCAAGATGATGTTGCCTTTGCTGACACAAAGAAAAGAGAGTTGGGAAATACTAAATACAGAAACAAATGGGAACATTTTCAGGACACAGTTTCTTCAAAGAGTGTAAAACTTTTTTCTGTGACTACAGCTGAGCATCTCAACTCTGACAATTCAGGGTCTTACTTTCCTTCTCCTAGCAGCATCTTTTTCTCTGCAGAAACCAGGGGAATGCACCAGCTGAAGCAGAAAACCAAGTCCCTATGTTTGATCTGCCACGACCCAAGAAACTGGGGAAACTGAGGTCTTTAACTCTGAAGGGAAGGGGCAGAATTTCTGTTGTGTTTTCAGATTTGACACACTCCAAAACAAATTTCTTCTGGGCTTTGAAAAGTTCCAAAGAGATGAAAGCCCCAAAAATCAGTTTGCAAATCCCTCAGAAATGGAGCTCGTGCCACATGCAGATGTTTCACCTGAGGGTTCTGGAGACAGTCATTCCTTGATGGGCTGACAACTAAACAGAATGAATCAATCAGCACGACGTTCATTCAGGACTCTTGATATGAATTCTTGCAACGTAGTGACAGCAAGGAACTCCTGATCCTGAGACATCACCCCAACTGCTTTACAATAATTCTAGAGGAAGCCAACAGCCAGAACACCACCAGCAGCCTAACAGGGCTACCAAGAGGTGACAGAGCTGCGTCTGAAAGGCTGAACTGCACCTCTCTTAAAGCCAGTCACAAAAGAAATGCATTATTTACTGTGTCTAATTTGTTTAATTAAGCAAAGCTGGATTTCCCAGCTTATGAATCAGTGTTATAGACATGTGATATGGTCAGGAAGGGGAACTAACCCACCAGCTTTACCATCGAAGCACCAGGCTGCCATCACTCCTGCCCAAACTCAGGCAGAGGGGCACAACACATTCCAGGGTTTCCATCATTTTGTGGCTAAGGGCACAACCCTGGCAATAGTGGGTACACTGCTGGGAACTCACCACTTCAAAGCCTGGATCAGCAGAGGTCTCCCCTGCCCCACATTCTGCACTCCCACTCTCCCAGCCCCAGCCTCCTCTCTGCAGTCCCAGTATTTCACACCCCCTTCCCCCCCCCCAGCACATCTCTCACCACTCTGGCTTCCTACAATACATTCCCACAGTCTCCCCTCTGCTTGGGCTCCTCTCCAGAAGCCCCTGGACTCAGCTCGTTCCCATCCTCCCTGTCCCATGTCCCCTGGCCGTGCAGGTTCCAGCGCTGGCTCTACCACAGCCCAGGCTGCTGCAGGGCCCAGGGGCCAAGCACAGAACCTGCTTCAACAGGGGCTGAAAGGCAACTTCTCATCAGTGAATAGATGTGCTCCCTCACAACATACCTGCGGGTGACAACCTCAGTCCTCTCCTACACGGAAGGGTCTGTGGCCCTGGGTTGTGACACACTGCAGGACAGTGCCACCCTGCCCAGCTTTGCTGTCAGTGTGACCCACCGAGGCACCCACACCCAACCCACTCCTCAGGGGCACCTCCTGCACACCTCCCACTTCTCATCACCCCAGGCCGGAGAAAACTTTTGTTGCCCATCTTTTGCATTGAGATTTCATCTCATCGTCAGCACCAGAAATACAAAATCTGGCTCTCATAAAGCATGACCTCACTTTCTAGAAATGACTTTCCTGTTGTTATTCCTTGCCTTGCTGCTGTTTGAATTAAACTCGGATCTGTGGCTCTGACATCTCCAGCACCAGCAGCACGCAGCCTGAGGGCTCAGCAGAGCCACTGAGAGAGCTGGTGAGAGGGGCACACACGTCTCCCTCAGCTGCAGGTCATGTGAAGTTAGAGCAGTCATCCTTTTGGTAACTACCTTCAAGTGAGATTATGATCAGAAGCTTGGCTATACATGAATCACCTTCTTACTAGAAGATGTGTCCTCCAGACACTCTCATGGCCAGGTGTCCTAGTTAAAAAATGAGGGGTTTACTCACCTCCAGACCTTCTGTCTCTGGATCCAAACAGTGCAGCTAGAAACAAATGGTTCTAGAGCATGTTATCAACAATATTAACCAAGCTCCAATCACAGCATCTTTCACAATTTCAATTATGAATGGAAAGAGGAGACCAAGTCGGCCAGCAGAAAAATCTGTGTGTTACCAGCTACGGACTGACCTGGGCACCAGCCACAGCATTAATTCCAACACATCCAGTCTGCCTAAGCTCTGCTGGGAAACCTGAGCACACTGGTTAGATTCCCTATGCAAAAATGATCATGACAGAAGCTTATTCTGCACTCCCATGGAGCTACAACCATAACACCAACAGGGAGCCTTCAGCTTGTCCTCTAAGTCAGCAGGCAAAACAGACTTTCTGCATGGAAAGAGTAACGAACAAAAACCAAAGGCAACAACTCCCTGTACCAGCAACTCCCTGCACCAGTCCAGACAAGAAAGTGAACTGGTTTGACATGAAAATTGAAATCAGTTCTCCTGATGTGAAAGTGAAATTATTTTTTTTAGTAGCAAAAAGGGCACAGAGGATGTTTTTTTTTTTTAAAAACAATTAAATATGTTCAGACAGCTTTTGTTAGAAGCTCCACCTGCAAGGGGATGTGAGAACACAAGAGGAAGGTGCAAAGGGAAAGCGAGAGCTCGTCGGGCGTGTGCACGTGGGGAAAAGAACCTTTTCTAGAGATCTGCTGCTCTGGACAAGCTCTCTGGAGACACATGGGGGGAGATGAAGAAAGAACAGAAGGAGGTTCCGTAACAGGGGAGCGTTTTCAGCCTGTTTCAGCTTGAGAAGGATCAAAGAGGCCCGAGGCAGCACACAAAGAGCCAGCCTGAGGTGACCTGGGCAAGCGGGTGCCGCGTCACCGACTCCTTTCACCTGCTGGAGGGGAGGAAGAGTCATAATCACACTTTCAGTATTTTCACAAGAGTAAAACACTGAGCGTGCTCGTAGCCATCAGGAAACATTCTGAGGTCAGCAGACAGATCTCACGTGAGTTACTTGATCTCACAGGGCTTCATTTTCTCTATTTAGACGTGGGGCAGCCCTGCTGTAATCCAGGTCAGGGCACGCTAACCAGAGGTCGATGACTTCTAATGCTTTGGGCTTGGAGACAAAGTACTAAAAACCTTGAATGTGCCCTATTTAGTGTAATATTTGGCAGCTAGTGTTTTAATGGACTTAAACTGGATTAATTTAATTCAAAATCAGTATTTTTGACCATGGAAATCATGTGACCAATTCCATTCACTCCACCACGTATGTACAACCCAAAGCTAAATGGATGAGTCGTGCTTCTCATTTTCCATTCTAAGACTTGTACTAAGGTTTCATGAACTTGCAATATTCCCTTCCTTGCTTAAAAAAAAAGTATATTCATACATTTGATTGAATAAATTATATATTTTATATGTAAACAACAGTGAATGCCAAGAAGTTGAAAAATATCATCGGTGTAAACACAAATCCTTCTGCCAAGTTAGCTCATGGAAATAAATTTAAGGCAGGAATTTCTGTTTCAGGCTTCCTCAAGGCAAAATAAAATACCAGTTTTATTGTTTTTAGACAAGGAAAATAAGATCAGTGTATAAAGTTCAATCAAATCACACTATGTAATATATTTTGTTTGGGTACAATTTAGAATTTCCAAAATGGTTTTTGGTTTATTTGCCAAAAACTTGGAAAAGCAGAGGCAAGCATAATTAGCCAACATTTTAAAGGCTTTTTAATGAATAAAATCTCATTTTACTTTACCATGCTTTTTCACATTCATAATTACTTTGATGTGAAGCATCCTGTAGCTACAGATATTGCACTGAAAATAAACTGGATTTTTTTTTAAACTAAATTATTGAGTTACTCAAGTTGAAGGCACTAGCAAATGATGTGTCACGTTTCAAACATTCAGAAGTTACTGTATTCATGTGCATTCTGCTGAAC